TTGTTTCAAGCTGTTTTATCTTGTGTATGTAGTTTCTTTTCATCTATATTTCAAATATCAAAAATAGACTGATAAATTCCCAATACTAAAGGTAAAAACATAATTATCCAATATGTATTCATCCATTGCCATCTATATTCTTTTGATGGTAATTGCGCCTGCCAAAAAGAGAACACAGTAAAACATAATACATTTTGAAGTAATAAAATTTGAAGGCAATAATTTAAAAATGCTCCCTAGAAGTGGTTTCTCCTCCAGGATAGAGTCCAAGTGGGCTCTAGGTGGCTGACATACAAGCTACATCTGCATCTAATGAAAGCCATACTCATCTTGGAGTCAGACAACTGGATTATTCTTTTAGATTGTCCACTTTGGTATATGCTATGTGATGTCTTCAAGAGTCTTCTGCAGAGAGAATTATCATGCACACACCGTAGGCCAATTAAAAACAAACTCCGCAAACAAACCAGCATTTGGTGTTTTATCTAAGAACTCTAGTGTCCTTAGGGCTTATCTAACAACCCTAATAAGCCCCAGGTTTGGCTTAAATACCTGACTACACATTTTAGTAGAGCCCAGGAGGCAAGAGTTAAAATGAACATGCTAAGGACAAGTACTCCTGTTTGAATTAGCAAAGACTAGTTATTCAACACCTCGAATCTGAATGTGTCATAAATATTATTGATGAGTGCACAAAGGACTACTAGACCAGGAAAGCAGGATTTGGATGGGGAAAGCACTGTGTACATAGGTGGAATTACGTTGATGAATAAAGGACAGCACTTCAGAAAGAACACACCCAAATACAAACTTTACGTGCTACATGACTTTGCCATGGATCAGTTCTATTCACAGAATCATCAATCAATTGACACAGAATGTCAATTAGTTTGCGAAAATAAAATTCCAAACTAAAATTACCTAAACAATAGGAAATATATTTTCTTCGAGAACTAGAAAGCAGTAAGTAGTCAGTTCAAGAGTTAGCAAATTCCATGATTCAGTGATGCCATGAAGGATCTCTTCCCTATATTTCCATTCTTCCCTCTTCAGGGTGTTGCGAATATTTCCCCTCACAGTCTTAAAATGGCTGCAGCAATTCCACTAACTCTTCCTGATTTTACTGATTTAGGAGACGTTTTGTTTGTTTGAGATGGAATTTCACTCTTGTCACCCAGGCTGGAGTGCAATGGCACGATCTCGGCTCACTGCAACCTCAGCCTCCCAGGTTCAATCAATTCTCCTGCTTCAGCCTCCTGAGTAGCTGAAATTACAGGTGCCCACCACCACATCCACCTAATTTTTTTTTGTATTTTTAGTAGAGATAAGGTTTTGCCATGTGGGCCAGGCTGGTCTCGAACTCCTGCCCTCGGGTAATCCACCTGCCTCAGCCTCCCAAAGTGCTGGGATTACAGGCATGAGCCACCATGCCCAGCCTTATTTAGGAGATTTTTTGAATGAATGTTTCTCCATTTGGTGTAGGCTCTTAGGACAATTTCAAGAGACTCTAAATAACTGTTTGGTTTTTTATTTTCCCCCAGTTACGTGCTTTTGTGCTAGGAAAAGAGTCTACCATGCGCCTCATTATGTCATTCTGGAAGGCCTACCTGTCAAGATTTCTTGGGCCTAGGCTTCGAAATGGTGTGCCATCACTTCTGCTATATTTTTACAAGATCGGCCTAAATTTAAGAAGTAGGAAAATAGACTCCACCTCCAGATTGGAAGAATCACAAAGTCACACTGCCAAGGGCTGAGATGCAGGGAAACTTAGATAACTGAGAACATAGTCAATTCACTAGCAGGTGAATACGTTTCCGAGACTTCCTCAGTAGATTTCTCCTCTGGTCTACCAGGCAGGATTGGATTACATGCCTATGCTTCAGCAGCAAGAAGGACTCGGATAGGCGGAGTCTGACATTTTCAAGTTCCAAAGTGAGAAGCAGACTTTGCCAGTGTTGAGAACTAGGGAGAAAGTGGCTCTGTGGTAGGCAACCCATAGTGTCTGCCAAAATGTTCAATCTTTCACCTCAGTTTGAGAGGGCAGTTCGACAGTATTTAGACAAGAACAAAATACTGCCTATTGTCAAATACAATTAAAATTAAATAGTTATTTATTTACTTAATTTTTATTTATTAAAATTAACATTAATTTTATTAAAATTATTTATTATTTATTTATAATTACTTTATTTATAATGTATTTATAATTAATTTATTAAAACTATAATTAAATATTTATTCAAAAATGGGAATAAATATTCCTAGCTCGTGATATATATTTTGGAAGGTTTGTGAGAAGATGCTGGATATTAAGAAAAAAATTCAGAAGAAATACATTAAACTCTCGGAGGCTAAGGAAAAGAGCCGTGAAGGCTGTAGTCCATTTGAATACGTTGTTAACAAATTGCTATCTATGTACTTGGAATAGCCTGACCATAATATCATAAAAGTAACAATTGATATCACTATATTATTTATAGGATTTAAAAAATACATTATATATGCCAGACACTTTGTTAAGTGTATTACACATATACACATATTACATATATATAATATACACCATATATGCCACTTTGTTAAGTATATTACATGTGTTAAGTATGTTACATGACCTTATGAAGTAGTTTTTTTTATCTTTTATAAAAGAAATAAACCTCATATAAGTTAGATTAATTGGGCTCAGCTAACTCAGTTAATAAATGACAAATAAATGACAAATATCCATATTCAAACCTACATCTATCAGGTTCCCTAGTGTGAAATCTTTCTACATATCATGCTTTCTCTTTTTTTTTTTTTTTTTTTTTGAGGCAGAGTCTCGCTCTGTCGCCCAGGCTGGAGTGCAGTGGCACGATCTCGGCTCACTGCAAGCTCCGCCTCATTCCATTCTCCTGACTCAGCCTCCTGAGTAGCTGGGAATACAGGCGACTGCCACCACGCCTGGCTAATTTTTTGTATTTTTAGCAGGGACGAAGTTTCACCGTAGCCAGGATGGTCTCAATCTCCTGACCTCGTGATCCTCCCCTCCTCAGTCTCCCAAAATACTGGGATTACAGACGTGAGCCACTGCGCCTGGCCATCATGCTTTCTTTACTAAGTACATAGAAGAAAAAGAAGGAAAACTTGGGAAAGTAGGAAGTATGACATTGCTGAGATGATAACATGGCTGTGTGAATAACCATAAAACTTGTGACAAAAACATTGTTTGTAACACTTTCCACTCGATACATCAAGAACATCTTTTCATTGTATTAAATGGTAAAAAATTTTTGATAACTACTATCAAGTTTTTTATTCTACTATATGAATATATGACAATTTATTTTAAAATGTATTTCCAATTATAAGTTTAAGAAAGACTATTACATGTTCAAAATCTCCCTCTTCTATTGTCTAAGCACAGAACTGGAGTACAGGTCCTAGCTTCCCATACCGTGGGGTGGCCATGCATTATCTGGCCAGTGAAATGTGAGCAGAAGGATCTATGTAACTTACAGGCTCAGCGTGAAACATCATCCATATGACCTCCATATACTTTCTCATGCAGGTCAGCCAAAGACAGAGGCTCTCTTGAAGAGGACTCCTGGGACTCCAGAAATGGAGGAGTCATTAAATGGAAGGAGTTTGAGTCTCTGAATAATTACAAGAATGCACACTCATCAGGAACATCCATTTTGGAACTTGTGTGAGCAAAAAACATATGTTTCTGAATGTTGAGTCATAAAATTTCTGGATTACTTTTTTTTATATAAAGGCTAGTACTATTGTTATTTACTCTAAATAATACATGAGCAATGCTTCAGAGGTCCTCTTTGTAGCTAAGTCTTTCTGCAAATATCAAATTATTTACTTAGAATATATTTTTAGAAGTAGAATTTCTGGTCAAAGGGTAAGAACACTTAAAGTTTTTGAAATTGCCTTCCAGAAAGCTTCTGCATTATTTAAAACCCATACCAGCAAGTCAATGAAAATTTCCAAAATAACTCGCCTCATTAGAATTTAACCACATTTTCTAACATGGATAACTTTTGTAAGGAATTTGCGAGGTTCTTGTGTCAGCTATTTTACTAATTATTTATATGTCTTTACATCTAGGTAACATACCTATCTTTCAATTTGTTTCAAAGATCAAATGTCATGGAATATTAACAGCACATATTTAAAATACTAAAAAATATAAGGCGATACAAAAATAAATTAGATACAAATCTAATTTGATGTATGTAACTGTAATAGTTATACATAGTAACAAATTTTATTCTGCCTTGAAAAGATTATCTGCTAAAACGTTGGCCATATGATCTTTAATTAGATTGTTACTTCGCTGGGCTATCATAGTAACATTAGTTACTTAACAATACAGATGTTTCCTTTTTGTAGTTTTTATTGGCTCAAGATGAACACAAGCTTTAGTTCAAACAAAAGTGAGAGAGTGCAACTTAAATGAGGAGATGATAGAATATGCACTAGAAGAGAAAAGGAGATAGATGTGTCGGCTGTTTGTTTTGTTTTCTTTTGAAAACTGCTGCGTCTCCACTCCTGGTTTGACACTTGGAGTCCAGAAAACTTTCCAACTGTGTTGAACAGAACTTCTGTCTCCCCTTGGGAGCAGCAGTAAGCCAGGGTAGACCACAAGAACCAATGAAAATACCTCATCTTTTTTATACTGGGTCACATTTCCCCATTTTTGACAGATGGAACCTTTGGAGAAGAATATTAATGACCACTGGGAGATGACACTAGTCATTTAGGGAAACACTCAATAAATAGGCAAGTGATACTTCACACAGGGACTCCCTAGCTTCGCAAAATGCCTAGACCCCAAAGGAAGCTTTTCCTGGAGATGTGATAATTTCTTTTTTAGGATAATAAAGCTTAATTCTGTAGAACTACCAGACGAAGCAAGACAGTTCACTAATACCACTTTACAGTCTTTTTAAAGATCTCTGCTACTTTGTTTTTTTCTATGAATTCTAGAGTAATATAACTTAGGCATTATCTGGTTTAAAAATACATGATCTGTTTTCACCAATTATAAACCAAATGAGTTAGTATCTCATAAGGATTCTTGAAAGATGCCAACAGTCCAGAGGTCATGCGTGACACCTTCAAGGGGGCCTTCAAAGCCCCTCCGAGTCAATAGCAGCAACCAAAGCCCCAGAAGTCTCCTCCCAGACAGAGGTACAAACAGCCTCATAGCTGGAAGACTCATTTACCACATTGGTGGGCTAAGGAGAAGGGGGGCAAATGCTCGCAAAGAAAACTGACTCTTTATTTCTTGAAATGAGTGAGTCCTATTTTACCCTATTTTTTCCTTGCCAAATCTTATAGCTATCAACTTAATACACGAAAGTACAAGACTAAGATTATTCTGTCTAAAATAAGATAACAGGCCATGTACAGTTGTATATTTTATTCAAAATCATTATACATCTATAGCATTATTGCCAAACCACTTTAAAAATGAGTCACAGTTGGCCAGGTGCTGTGGCTCACACCTGTAATTCCTTTGGGAGGCCTAGACGGGGCGGATCACCTGAGTTCAGGAGTTCAAAACCAGCCTGGCCAACATGGTGAAACCACGTCTCTACTGAAAAAAAAAAAAAAAAAAATTAGCTAGGTGTGGTGGTGCACACCTGTAATCCCAGCCACTTGGGAGGCTGAGGTGGGAGAATCACTTGAACCCAGGAGGTGGAGGTTGCAGTGACTGGAGATTGTACCCCTGCACTCCATTTTGGGTGACAAAAACGAAACCTGATCTCAAAAAAAAAAAAAAAAAAAAAAAAGTCAAAAATGTTAGGCATGCAGGGTGTGTCCACTTTGCTGTTTTAGATACAGACAACACACATCACACAAGGTTAAATGAACAATTCAGACTTTCCTCTGGGAAATTTCAGTTATTTTAAAGAATGTAAAGACTAAGTATTTAGTTCAGGAGGAATTCCGTTGAAGCAAATTATGTAAGAACAAATTTTTGTAGCACAATTTCCATCATATTAGAACTCTGTAGATAATTTTAGTGATACCAGTACATTCAGATCTCATATTTTAAAGATAGAGGCGTATGTAAAGAAATGTTAACTGAGCTTTAAAATGTTGGAAAAGTTAATTAATGTTATGAGTGAAGATTAAGAACGTATGTACTTTGTCAGGATAGAAACTAACAGGGAAATATAAAACGTTATAAATGCCATTCAAACGAAGAATCACTTAAGGTGACCCATCAAGGGATGTTAACAGGGAATGATGATTGGAAAGTATGAAAAGGAATATTGAAGAATAAACACAAGAAAAGTTTTCTGACAGTCAAACCTTTTTCAGTCTCTAGGGAGTCCATGGAAAATCCATCAATTAGATCATACTAAGCAGTACTGTTCAGAATATTAACAAAGCTTTGTACTTCTTCTTCTCAACTTTGCACTCTGGGAAAATATGTGTGTTGCTTTCAGTAGCAGAGTTCTTCAGGTTTTGACTTGTTTTCTTTGTAAACTCCTCCTTCATCAGCAGTCAATAAGAGCCAAGAAGACCTAGTAAAGATGACAGAGAACCAAAATGTAAATGAGGAGTACCCAACTCTAACTCCCGATATAAGCAGTTATATTAATGCACTTAATTTTCTCAGAAAAGAAAATTGATGGTCCACAAATAATTTGTAAATACTTTCCAAAATACCAATAGCACGCTATAATTTTTATGAAAGAAACTCAAAATTCATATAAGGAATTGTTTTCATTCTATAGGATATGAGTTAGTTTCAAACTTTCATGATTAACAGAGGAATTCTCATCTCCCATTCAGATCTTAGGGACTCTTAGATATTTACAATTGAAGTGAGATTTCTTTCATGATTAAGAAAGTTAACCTTAAATGTGTTTGAGAGCTAAATGAAGTAAACTCATTGTTCTATATTAGCATTATTTGATGTCATCTTGTTTCAGTACGAATAAGGTGCCAGGTCACACTATAATGAATAATAATATTAATATTGTTTATCATTAATGTCTTGATACCTAAATGTCTCTGCTTGTTCTATAGCAACAATGGTCTCTGTCACAACTTTCATGATTTTTATTAAGACTTCAAAAGACTATGGCAAAGATTTTCTTACCCCTAGTAAGACTTTGTGTAGATGTTACAGAAAGCAGATGTCCTCAATGAGTGCCATTTTTATTCAAATAGATTTGAGGCTCTACTAGATAGGCCTTGCATGGAATATCTTCATGAACAGCTACATATCCAATGTGGTTCGGCATTCATGTGTATTCCATTCTTTTTTTCTCTCTGTACTTTCTTTTCTTAAAAATAAATGTTATTATGTATATTTAAGGCATACAACATGATGTTGTGAATTAAATATAGATAGTAAACAGGTTACTATAGTGAAGGAAATTAACACACCCATCATGTACACGTTTCTTTTCCAGGACTTGTTACTTTCATGGCTAATATAATATATAATCTAAGGGCTAGAAGAGAAAGTAAGCACATCAGAATAATCTTTCCACACTTTCTTCTCCCTTTTCTGTAACCATTACTTGTTTTTCCACCCAAAATTATTACTCTGTAGACATTTTCTTGAATTTTTTTATGCCCCCCTCCTCATGGCATTTAAGTCACTCTGTATTTATTTCTACACCAAGCCTTTTCCTTTACTACTGCTGTTTGTAGCAAGCTTGGAGTCTGCTTTTTACCGCTGACCTTAAAGTGAAAGTTTCCTTCCTTTTGATTGTGTTGCTGGAGTCCCTTCCACCTTCCCTGCCTGTCTTATCTCTACTGAAGGTGGAGAAGGCATAGAGACTACCACCTCCACCACCCCCAAACACACGTGTGCATGCACACAGACACACACACACACAGAGCATGCTTCCTTAGGCAGAGAGAAACACTGAGCTCTTTGTCTTTCTGCTTGTCCTACAGAAAAGGGAGGGGAAGAAGCGAGATACAGAGGACGGAACAGGCCAAGTTCTATGACCCTGTCTGTCTCTGCTCAGGGCAGAGAACTTAGATTTCTGAAACCGAACTTTACCCCTCCTCCTCCCATCACACAGGATAGCAGAGTCACCTTGGCAAGCACATGTGTCCATTTGCCAAGATGCCCTGGGAAGAGACTGTATTTGCTCATGAAAAGCAGGATAAGATGCCCGAAGCAAAACAAGTCTTATCTCACTTAGAATCAGAGTGCTACTAGGCACGATGTGGAAGCGCAGAATAGAATTGTCTTCTCTGGAAGGTATATTAGGATGTTTTCATCCATAAGAGTAAAACTCATTAACAAAGGTTTAAGAAAATGGAGAATTCTTTTTATTACATAGTAAAAATCTGAAGCGGCTCGTAACATTGGTTCAGTAGCTCAGTGATGCGATGACTGTTGTTTAATTCATTTGTCCTTCTTCTCGAGGTCACAAGGCAGCTGACACAGCTGTAGAGCCCATGTCCTCCTTAGAGCAGATAGAAGAGGATGAGGAAAGATCCCAGCAGATGTCTGCTTACTTGTTATTAGCCACACAGCCTTTTTCAGTTCTAAAGGAGGCTCGGGAACGCAAGCACTTTACATTTTCAACCTCTATAACTGAGGTTGAAAAGGAAGAAAAGGTTGAGGTTAAGTACTGGGTAAGCCAATAAACACTGTCTGCCACAAAAGCAATCCCATACCCAGATTTATCCATTTCCTTTCCTTTTGCTTAGAATTACCTATGAAGGACAGCACACCTGTTGAATAGCCCACATTTGACTAGGCTTACAAATTTTAGTATCACTGTTTACTTTCAAGTTAGGGAGATCTTTCTTGCTTTATAGGAATGCAAACAATTCAACAAACAAAAAACCACATTAAAAAATGGGCAAATGACATGAACAGTCACTTCTCAAAAGAAGACATACATGCAGCCAACAAATATATGAGAAGAAGATGCTTATCATCACTAATCATTAGAGAAATGCAAATCCAAACCACAATGAGAGACCATCTCATGACAGTCACAATGGGTATTACTAAAAAGTCAAAAAACAACAGATGCTGGTGAGGTTGCAGAGAAAAGGGAACACTTACACACTGCTGATAAGAGTGTAAATTAGTTCAACCACTGGGAAAAGCAGTGTGAAAGGTTCTTTAAAAACTTAACAAGAATGAGCAATTCCACTACTGGGAGATATTGAGAGCCAGCAATTCCTCTACTGGGAGATACTGAGAGCCAGCAATTCCACTACTGGGTATATACACAAAGGAAAATAAATTATTCTACCAAAAAGACGCACGCTCGTATGTTCATTGCAGCACTATTCACAATAGCAAAGGCAAGGAATCAACAAAGATGCCCATCCATCAATGGTGGACTGGATAAAGAAAGTGTGGTACAGATACACGATGGAATACTAGACAGCCACAAAAAGAAAGAAATCATGTCCTTTGCGGCAACATGGATGGAGCCAGAGGCCATTTTATCCTAAGTGAATGAACACAAGAACAGAAAACCAAATGCCACATGTTCTCACTGAAAAGTGAGAGCTAAACATTAAAGACACATGGACGCAAAGATGAGAACAATAGACACTTGGGACTGCTTGAGAAAGGAGGATGGGAGGGGGCTGGAGGTTGGTAACGCTACCTCTCAGGTACTATGCTCACTACTTGAGTGACAGGATCATTCGTATACCAAGCCTCAGCAACACGCAATTTACCCGTGTAACAAACCTGCACGTGTGTCTCCAGAAGCTAAAACAAAAGTAGAAGAAACAAAAAGAATTTGAGCATGCTGTGTTTTGGGGCCTGCAGTTTTATCTTTAGATGGCTTGTTGTCTTTAGATGGCGCAACCATCCTGCTGTGTGTAACTCAGCTAGCATAGAGGTTACATATGTGTATTTAGAATTTAAATGCTAAATTGTAGATAGGGAAACTGAATGAAAAAATAAGTCATCATGTTCATTCTTCCATTATATTTTGTTAAATATGCACAATATGACTGTCCTAATCATATCCCAGACTCAATTTTTCCTTTCTTTTGCAATTTCAGATGGCGCCTACAAGTCTGAACAGTTAAACCCTCTATTTGTCCTGGAGTTTTCCTCTTGCCCAAATTCTTCCTCTAGTTCCGACTCTACCCACCCAGTCTTTGATTTTTCTCACAGAACTCTTTGCTTCCCTAGTTATTCATTTCTCCCTCTCTTTGAGAGAAAGCACTTCCTCCTCTGGATACTGTGTAATCTTTCTCAGGACCACACAATGTGCCTTTATGTGTGATGATAGTGGACAGATGTGATTTTTCCAATGGGTTTTATTTTGCTTGCTTATTTATGTATTGCTCAGACTTCAGTCTGAAACAAAATAAGTTAGAACGTTCATTGCTTCTCATTTACACTGAGGTGAGTTTTCATTCATTTGAAGTGATTTGCTAATTATACAAAGTTCTTAAAACCCCTTTATCGAAAACCATGGAATATACCAGGGAAGGTTAAAAATTCCTAATTTGTCTTTTAAAAATGTTTCTAAAAGCAAGGATGCAGTACTATTTAACAATAGATTGGTTTTTCAAAGAACAATTTTCATAATATTTATGCAAAAGGAACACAAGTAAACGTTCCACAGTCCATGCATCAAAAGTTTCCAGTTATATCTCTCTATCTTGAAATGGATCATTTTATGTAACAGAGACTGTTAGATCCAGAATAGAGTTTAAGACCTATCTCTAATTAAATCTCATTTTTGCAGAAGACGATAGAGAAGCCACAGAAGCTGAATAACCCATCCAAGGGTTCACAATTTGTGAGTGGCAAACCAGTCTTCTGATTTCCAATTCAGGACTGTTTTTACCATCGCCTCCATCTGAAGGGCTCACCCCTATAATAACCAGCTACAGATACCATACCCAGATCTGGTGGTTCATGTGATAAGAGGCAGAAGTTGGGGCTTTGCAGGGCTGTATCAGGAACTAAGTGTTGGGCGGTGGGCTAAGAACACAAAGAGGGAGTAGAAATGAGAGCAGAAGTGTAGACCTGCTAAACTTGGAACAGTGGGACACTAGCACATATATTCTCCATATTCTCTGGGCCAGATTGGGATGAGGGTGGCAGGGCAAAAGTTGCAGGTTTAAAAGAAGGTAGAGGCCAGGCGCGGTGGTTCACGCCTGTAATGCCAGCATTTTGGGAGGCCCAAGTGGGTGGATCACGAGGTCAGGAGATTGAGGCTATCCTAGCTAACACGGTGAAACCTCGTCTCTACTAAAAAATACAAAAAATTAGCCGGGCGAGGTGGCGGGCACCTGTAGTCCCAGCTGCTCAGGAGGCTGAGGCAGGAGAATGGCGTGAATACGGGAGGCGGAGCTTGCAGTGAGCCGAGATCGCACCACTGCACTCCAGCCTGGGGGACAGAGATTCCGTCTCAAAAAAAAAAAAGGTAGAAATGACCACTTCCAAAGACAGATCTCCCACGGTATCGAAAAAGTAGACAGATATTGCATATTGCCTGGGGGAGGCAGGTTAGTTGTAGTTATCACATTGCTTTACTCATAATTAACACGTTGATCAATTGATCTTCAGATAATTTTAGTTAAAAAATGTGGTGGGGCACAGTCATGGAAAGAAAAACATTATTTCTACAGCACCTGAGCTGAAAAACATTTTCAGAGCATTTGTGCAAACAGCATAGCTAACATCCACCGTAGAAGTATGCTTTCTCTGAAAGAAAATCCTTTTTCCATTTAGTCCTGTCCTCAGTTCTTCTACTTTTTTATTCATTCATCCATAGAGTCATCAGATTTAGGGACTACCTACTATATACCCAACAACTTAAACACTGTCAATATTTACAATAATGAGATGCTTTTTTTTTTTCATGTGGTAGAGGCTTGGAAAACATGAAATCCTTCTTTAAAATGTTTGTAAATATTTGTTCTGCTAACTTGAAATAAGTAATGTGTTTGTGTTCAGAGCAAACAATTCCAATGTCTCATTTTAGGAAACAAATTAATCTAATCTTTATTGAATTTTAAATCAACAACAACAAAACACTCTTAAAAGAATTGGCTGGGCAAGGTGCAGTGGCTCATTCCTGTAATCCCAGTACTTTGGGAGGCTGAGACGGGCTGATTACCTGAGGTCAGGAGTTCGAGACCTCCTGGCCAACATAGTGAAACCCTGTCTCTACTAAAAATACAAAAATTTACTGGGCATGGTGGCATGAGCCTGTAATCCCAGCCACTTGGGAGGCTGAGGTGGGAGAATTGCTTGAACCTGGGAGTCAGAGGTTGCAGTGAGCTGAGATCACACCACTGCACTCCACCCTGGGCAACAGAGTGAGACTCAGTCTCAAAAAAAAAAAAAAGAATTGGCCATTAAAAAACGGGATGCATCATTTTATGTAAAATCTATTCACAAATAGAGTACTTAAATAAATGGCAGAGTTAAAATGGTGACTTAACTAATACTTTTTGTAAACTTGAGAGCTGTTCTGCATCATCTTGAATAAAGATA